CTAATTGTTCATACAACTGATTTTTGTTGATTGTGTTATTTTCCCTTTTGAGCTCAGTCAAAGACAAGAAGTATATTATCCTTGTGAGGCTACTTTTCTTATCTAATAATGATTGGAATATTTTTGTAATTATCACAATTTATCATTTGACTGTCTCATTTTCTCCTGGATTTTTCGTTTGGAAGATACAATCCTCCAGAAGAATTCCAGGAGGTTAACTTGGATCCACTTGTAGGGATACCTATGACAGACTCAACAGAGCTTTGGCTTATTCAATTGCCTCAAAATCAAGTAACCCTCATTTTTCTCTTTTCTTTTCTTGCCTTGCTGTTTATCTTTTGCTGCCTGCTGTTGAAATCTTTACTATTTGGGCCATTATCTGTGCATTATTTGCAAGACCTTTCATTTACTTTCTTGTGTTTGTGGAATCATATTTTAATCTCAATGACGAGTTTTTTCTCCTCAGAATATAATGCAATTCAAATCAGATGATGGAATAAATAGAAGACATCTTTCTCTTAAGTTGCACCACAATGGACGAGTTGGCACAGTAGAAAACAACTCTGGTAATATGTCAACTATACTTGAAGAATTTTTCTTTGTGGTTTATATGATTAGCTATAAATCTGTCGTCAAAGTTGCAACTCTGATAATAATAATATGTCAACCATACATGTCATTCTTTCTCTGTTGACCATACTGCTACAAGATGGAAAGTTTCCTGTCTTATATTTCGTAAGGTGATGCAGGTAAGTCATTTTGGGTACTGTATTAACCTATGATAGAGAAAAGGTTCATAAGTTTATATATTCTTATAGTCGCATGAAACAAAATTTCCTTCTTCGACTTGTCATTTATACTTGGTTTTTTTATGCAGGGAGAAAATAAAACTGGAACAATAAAAATAAAAAAAGAAAAGGGTTGAGAGAATATACCTTCTCTGAAGGTCTGCAAGGGAATCCACCCCAAAAACGATATTTTCACATGACCAAATTTACTCAATTCTCATTCTTTGATACCTTTACAATGAAGGGACATGCCCCTTTAAATACAACTAAAAAAAAGATAAATAAAAAGCTAAAAAAACCCAGAAAAAAAGGAAACTCTCTCTCTCTAAAGTTACATATTTCCCTATTTTCTCTCTCACATACAACCTAATTATTTTCTCCCTATTGTCTCTCTCTAAGCTTCACCTTAGCCTTTCTAGGAATAAAAGATAACCATCACTTATTATTTCCTAAACTAAAAGATCTTTACCTTATCTATATGTTATTTCTAAAACCAAAAGATCTTTACCATGCCCTACTAAACTAAAAGATCTTTTCCTTATCTTTATGTTATTTCTAAACCAAAAGATCTTTATTCCCTAAACCTAGATAGGCCTTCTTGGGTGAAAACTCATGCCCTACTAAAAATCACGCACCAAAATCATCATTCCTAAAAAGATAATTAATATATATATATATATATATATATTTCTTTTTTCTTTTTTTTTTTTTGAATTTTTTCCTAATTTTTATCTGCATTATTCTCCTGGGGTGGGAGAAGCTTGACCTCGAGCTTGAAGCCAATCACCCTCTACTAATTGGTGATGTAATCCCACTATGTGACTCGGCGCCTTTTCTTCAATTTCTTCATTAAACCTATTCATCAAGTGCTTTGTGCTTATCTCGAAGTAGAACACATGGATCTCAGGCTCAATCGTGATTTTTTCTTTTTCTTTTTCAAGTTCCTCATAAAACGTGGGAAGATTAAGCTGAATATATGTTTCCTGTCCATAAATTTCTTTATTACATTTGGGATCAGCACCCTAGGTTTGTTGTGGGACTACTGGAGCAAGATCGATGGGGTTGTGAGCAATGTTCGAAAATTTGGCCGCCCGACAACCTAGGCGGTCGCCTGGGTAAAAAAAATTTAAAAACGCGTAAGCGCAGTCTGGGTGGGGGCATTATGCGTTTTTGCTTTTGGGCGCCCGCCTAGGCGGTCAAGGCGCTGCCTAGGTGCTATTGTTTGGGCGCGCCTAGGCACCGCCCGTTGACAACTTGCGGGCAAAGGAAAAAAAAACCTCAGGTGAGGGTAAAATATGTAATATTTTCTCCCTAAAAACGAGGGGAAAGGGTTTTAGAGGGTATTTTAAACCCCTAATAGAAAATCCGTAGCCTTTAGGGTGAGAAAAATCTCTAAAAAATCACTCTTTTATGATTAATCGAAAGATCGATAAATTTTTTATTTTTTCGATTTCTTCCCAAAACGAAGGCAATAGTTCATGGGTGGATTTGGAGCTTCTAATAGTTGATTTTGAGAACTTTTGGCGACTCAATGGACGAGCTTTGCACCGACATCGATTTGATTTTGATATTTTTAAAGTATTATCATATTTAAAAGAGGGTTTTGATTTTATTTTGCTACAACATATTATGTTATGAATCATTTATTTTTTCTTTTACTTTTTTTTTTATGGTATATTTATATGTTTGTAGTTAAAAGATTGATTTTTTTTGGTGATTTGCTGATTTTTTTCTCATTTGGACGATGCAATTGAGCATATATCGTATTCTTTTATGAATAATTGATTTTTTTTTTGTACAATGTGTCTTTATTTTGATATTCTATTTTTTTTGTTTTAGTTTATTTGATAAATAATTGATTATGTGATATCTTAATGGGTTAAGTGTTATGTGAAAGTGAAACTAAAGTTTTAAAAATGTCTTAGATATTCAATTATTCATTTAAGTCTTATTGTAAAGTAATAGTTAGTGTTTCATGTTTGGGGTGTGAGGGGAGGCGAGGGGAGGGGAGGGCACCCTGTTCCTGAGCGCTTGCCTAGGTGGCCAGGCACCCAAACGGTCTAGGTGCCCTAATCCGTTTTTTTGAACATTGGTTGTGAGCACCTTCTTCACGATGAAGGTTGTTCTCCAACCATTGTAACCGTTGATTCATTTCACGAACTTCGATTCGAACATTGGTCAAACTGTCACGAGCATCCTCCATGACTTTGTTCAAATTTTCTATAGCTTGTCCCTAACGATCGTCCATACAAGGAGCAGGATTAGCTTTGATTATCTTTTGCTAGCATTGTAAAAAAAAACCAAAAAAAAAAAAAAGTTTGCTCTGATACCAACTGATTCAGGGAAAAATAGTAATAAACCAAAAAAAGCTTGAGAGTATATACTCTCTCTCTAGATCTGCAAGGGAGTCCACCCCAAAAACAATCCTTTCACAATATCAACTTTACTCAATTCTCATTATCTGATCCTTTGACAATGAAGGGACCTTCTCTTTTAAATACAACTCAAAAGAAGATAAATAAATAACTAAAGAAACCCACAAAATAAGGAAACTCTCACTCTCTCTCTCTCTCTCTCTACTAGTTATAGTACTTACCTTACTTTCTTCTACTCTACGTACCTACCTACTAACTTCGTTTCTTCCGTTACGTTTCTTCTTACTTACGTACGT